GAAACGTCAGGCTTATAATAAACCTCTCCCGGTGAACGCTCCTGTTTCTTCTGATCTACCTGCCGGGAATCGAATTTTCAGCATTATCACTACATATTACTTAAGGTCAAGCAGTAGGTAAAATATAAGCAGTTCGTTTGGATGTGACATGAGTGTTTATAAATCGATATGAGCCTAGTTTCCCTGTATCGCAATAGCTAGAGTTTATTGGGAATACTCAAGTCGCTGCGATCTGCTGACCGGGTCCAGTGTAGGAACAGTAGAAGTGGAACAACAGGTGGGAGTAATAGTGTGTGAAGTCTAGGTTGGAAGGAATTGGCAGTAGAACGAGCGCGCGTCAACTGCCGTGAGGGTGGTGTTCGAAGTGTCAGAGCGCGGGAGTCGTTCGGCGCCCCCAGCGAAGTCACGTGTACGGCAGTCTCAGGGAGGCGGTAGGCCAGACGGGAGCGGGGTCGGCCTATAGGTGCTACGGTTCAGATGTGCACAGGATCTCACATAAGGGAGAGAGCCAAAAAGGTATCAATGAGGATCAATTGCAATCTTAACAGCGTCTACAGTGGCTGTTGTTAATTAGTTATTTTTAGACTAATTCAACTATTTCGCAATATTTACAATACAATTCATTTAATCAGACCTTCGTCATAACTGATCTACTGTTTCGTGCGGATGCAAAAAGGCGATGCTTCCTCAGTTCGAATTTCAACAAAAAATGTTATTGCTTCACAAACCCGTACTATGAATAGTAAACGTTCCTTTGACACACGAGATGGGTACCTCTGATGGAAGGACTCTCGCAAGCGTAGGACCTTAACTACATAAGAGACAACCTTATACGCGGAAACGTAAGAAAACGAAACGGGTACTTGTCCGAAAATGTCTGTGTTGAGAAATTAAGTGTTGTACAAAGCGCTACAAAAGAAAGATCGCACAACAACAGGAATAAAGTTGGGCTCAGTGTCCCCCAGTGGTAGGGATTGCCTTGAGTGTAGATTCAAAAGCTAGCAAGATATCACATTGCATGGGTCAAAAGTATTAAGTGCGAGCCTATTCCTTTCAATCTGCAGTTGCTCCTACTTTGAGTAAGGTGCAGGTCTGGGACTTGGTTGTGTAGAAGGGCGGCCTTTGATAGACTGTAGGAGTCGGCTTGAAGGCGATTGGAGGCTGCACGTAGGCAGCCGCAAGCCAGAACCAGCCGGCAACGAGAGCCAAACAGATGCTGAGCCAAGTGCACGTGATTCCGGAGTCGAAGATTTCGTTTACATTATACTGCCAGACCTAAAATTCAAACAAAGACGGTCCGAAAAATGATGCATACATGCAAGGTGAGCTTTACTATGTAGTATACGGTAAGGAGCCTCCTAAGTGACTTGAAAGTGGCCTCAGGCGAACCCGGTACTGAACTGTTTGATTTTGGTTTTTGGAAAATAATAACGGGGGTTTCATTATATTTTCTGTTAGTGTAAGAAATATGGACTTGAGCAGCTGGGGCGATGCTCATTGACTGTAGCCCTAGCATATGAAAACTCATAAGGCACAGCACAATAAAATGGACGGGAATATAAATCACCAGAAAGCAACTAGCTGCCCAGCTCTCTTGGTGTGCTTTAACAAAATCTTTGAGTGATAGCTTAAGCCTATTAGTTCTAAATACTGCGTAAAGTAACGGTGAGTGCAAACAAACTACTCAATATTCGAGCCTGCAGAGTCCCACTTAAAAACTTAAATTCAGTAAAATTCGAACCCAGTATTCAATAAAGCCTAGGAGGTGACCATGTAATGAGATTAAACAGCTTTTTGTTTTACTCAGTTAAATATGCCGTGTAAGTAACTTGCCAAAACCTTCAATAAGACACTAGAAAGCACCTAGTTTTAGTGCCCAAGGCCTTTGTTCTTATTTACTAGTTTATAACTGTTGGGATACTTGTACCTTATATTCCTGGGTAGGCTACTTCGTACTTGGTGACCCGAATTTTTCGTTGCGACTTAAATTTAATTTACCTGCTAACAATTTCCACGCGCATCCTTTCCCTTTATTTCAGTAGCCCTACTTTCTCAGCCGTTTCCATTGGCTGATTCACTCCGCGTTATCGTTTAACCGATACCAGGGTTGCGTTAATTCGCCCGTTGATCGCGCCCCACTAACTGACCTTTGACCGAACACGTCATGGCCGGCCAGTCTGCCAGCCAGCCTATTAGTGGCATTAATATGTTCGACCTGCCTACCGTATGGACATCGCCCTTTGGTTACGCACCGTTGAATCACTCTTTGCTCTGTGGAGAATCACGAAGGTAGACACCAAATTTCATTATCTCATGGCCGCACTGCCACTGGAGATTGCAACTGGTCTTCGTGACATTATCGACAATCCATTCGCAGAGGCCGCATACGTTATACTAAAGGAGGCCCTTATCTTCGTGTCGCTCTCTCTCTCACAAACCTAAGCGCCTCCAGTAGTTAATTTCTGGGGAGAACCGTATTAATAGGAAGCCCATCCAGCTTCTTAGGCGCCTAGAACAGCTAGCCGAGGGACAAAAGCTGCACGGCACAATGTTCAAACAGCTTTTCCTTCAGCGGCTGCCCTCGTCAGTGTAAGCTATCTTTGTTCCCAACGTCCCTTCCTTGTCAGTTCAAACCCTTGCCGAGAAAGCTGACCGGATACTCGAGTACTATCAAACGCCTCTCTCGGTCAGTGTTTCTACTCGGGTCGTAACGACACCTACCATCGAAGATGTCTCCAGACGCCTGGATGCCCTCATTCTCGAAGTTTCCCAGTTGCGGGTCACTCATGTCTACAATTGTCGTAGTCCTTCAATCCTTCGCCACCGAAATCTCTTACTCTAAGCCAAAATACAGCTGACGGTTTCTGTTTATACCGCCACAATTATGGTGTCAATGCCTACCATTGTCATTCTCCGTGTAAGTACGAATTATCTTCCTCAGAAAACTTCCCCGTCGACCAGCAACGGAGACGAACGTGGTTGGTTCATCCTCTCCAAGTCGCTTACTATACATTTTCGACAGGAGTTCCTGTCGTAATTTCCCTGTGAGTACAGGTGCCGAGATTAATCTAATTCCACCCACTTCGACTGACCGTAAGCCATCCAACTCTTCAGGTTCTCTTCAAGCAGCCAATAATACTCCCATTAAAACCTTTGGTCAAGTATCTCTAACTCTAGATTTGGGTATAGGACATTCATTTTGCTGGATATTTACTATTGCTGACGTACTTCTTGGGTTTTCTTGTTGATATTAAGCCCATAAACTAATTGACCCTATGACGCCTTTATGCTGTAAGTGTTCCACTCGTATCCCTTGCACACCTAATCCACACATTTCAACGATCCCTTCGTCTTCTTCCTATCATCATTTACTTTTGGAACTCCATCCATTACATGGCCCTCACAAGTTGACCAACCTATTAAGTACCCCATCGGGCGTTATATATCAACTACATGGTCATCCGTTTTAAGTCATCCTAGTCGTTTAGATGCCGATAATTTAGCTACCGCAAAGGCTAAATCCAGTCATATGATGGAGCTAGGCATAATAAGGCCTTCCACTAGTCCATGGGGCAGCCCTCTGCATATGTTATGTAAACGACTCTCATTGATTGGCGCCGTTGCGGGGATTACCGATGACTAAACCCATGCACTGTGCCCGACAGATATCCACTTCCCCATCATCACGATTTTTCAACTGGCCTAACATGAGCAACAATGTTTTCCAGTATTGAGTTAATCAAAGCTTTCTAGCAGATACCCGTTGCTCCAGAACACATTCCAAAAATGGTACTTACAACACCATTGGATATTTTAGAGTTTGTCAGGATGCCCTTGGGACTGCGCAGCTCCGCTCAAACTTTTCACCGTTTCATCTACGAAGTCCTCCTCGACCAAACCTTTGTCTATTTCGATGATATTCTGTCTTAATATTTTGGAGGAGGAGGAAGATAGTTTACTGAAAAATACTTCTGAGTCCTGGTTCTTGAAAATAATCGCATGAAAACGAAATTTTACATTCTCTAGGCCTTTCGGTATGCGATGTCGGATTATATTGATGAGAAAGGAAATGAAAACTTAGCCCAATGTGAGTCAGTTCTTCATCAGATGTAAAATATTTGCAAAGAAATGTTTCTTGTTCTGTGATTTGTAGCCGGTGTGATAATGAAAAAAACATTAGTTATGGGAATGCAACAGTTTGCAACTATTTGAGTGGCAGAATACTTTTCATCTTACCACTGACTGGTTAGCGTAGACAGCATAAAGTCCGTTCCCATTGTAGATTTTTTCCACGGTGAGTGCATAGGAGAAGATAATGTTTGCTATCGTTGCGATAGTGGCTGAAATAAAAGATGAAGTAGGATCGAGCTTCATGCGATCCAAAAACAAATGCTCTGCAGATAATGCCCCTTTCCGACTGCCAACTCTAGGCGCTGGAGTTCTGTCAAGTAGATCAATAGGAAAGTTATTATCTCATAAGAATATATTTGAACTGGTCATTGACGGACATGCTGGGAAGTCTGTGAGAGCAATATGGGCTGAATTAGCACCTTTTGATAGCCACAACGCCTAGAGTTGTCGAGAAAATGCATTCTCAAACCACCTGCGAATCTGAGATTGTGGTTGACAAAAACTTAGGAACCAGAATTTGGAGTGAGTTTACAATTGGAGCTCTAGGCTGGGTTCGGCTTACCCGTTAGATATGCAGATTTAGTGGTTGTTTTAAAGAAAATCTGCACGTTCAATGGAGAAAGTCAGTTTTTGAAGCTGATTTGGTAGGCTAAGTATTAATTGTGAAGTAACAAGAGAGGGATTTTCGGTTTGGGAATTTATACCAGACTTTTAACTTTCACTTCTCGAACAATATCATAAGTTGCATTCGTGCTTAAAACTTAGTCAGTGAATTACACAAGGTATTCAAAGCTGAAATCCTTAGTGTTTGCAAGTGATTATAATTTAAAATTTAAAATAGCGCTACCATTAAGTTATAGCAGTATTAAAAATATGTCCATAACCACAAGCGCTATAATTTCTAGGTCATTTCCGCTTATTTTACCATCCCTGTCCTCAAATTAGTCATTTCTTACTAGTGATAAGATTGCTTTAGTTAGATTAGTTAGCGAGTTAGACGAAACCTTTAGACTTTGAATTATTTTTACCTGATCGCTAGAAAATTGGTTTTGGCAAAGTTAGATGAGTCCCCACGTAACGTGTTATAGGCAGCCTCGAGCCAAATCCTTGAAAGTGCTAATGCGTGTGTTCTAACTTTAACCATTCTCTCGAGCCTAGTCCTCCTTACTTTAATCCTCATTCCAAAACGATCCTTCCTGTATATAACTAAAAGTGCAACCGTCTCCTACTATAATATAGAGCAACACAATCCGTATTAACGGGCGGCATATTTATAACCGTGTCCTTCCGAAATTTGTATCAGACTTGTAACTTTTATGACTGTAATTGTAAATATGGCTAGCTCGAATAGCAAACACATTGCTATTTTTATCTTTTTGCTACTGCCTTCCTCGCCTCTGTAATTGCCTGCGTATGAGAAGATAAGTTGTGTTCCTGTGCCAACTGACTACAGTATTCTGATGTTCATTCCCCCTGCTGTACAAAGCATTAATTTAAATTGCTCCGTTATAGCCATTACACTTGACGTCTCGTGAGACGCGTTTAACGGTAATTACTATTGGCCTTAATCTAGCTGTAGTTATTCGATTTTTCGAGAAATACCAAGCCTTTCTACAAATCCAATTTGTTGTGCAGATAATAATTAATACTAGAAAGCAGGCATCCCAAGAAATATACTTTGAAAGATAGATGCTTTTTGGAAAAACAAGGTAACTTTATTCAGTCAATTTTCGATGTTGGTTCCCCAGGTCGTCGTCGTCAGACTTCAGAAAATGTGCGAAGAACAATTCAGAGTTCAAAAGAACCGGAAAAATTATAAAGTCCTCTGCCCTGAGCGCTAAGTGTTAACTGCCAGTTGTGTCAGTCCACGGTGGAAAATTTTGTAGTCGTAATGGTGTAATCGCTAATTGGCAAATGTAATTTGCGTCAGTCCGTTGTGGAGCAGTTAATAGCTACCCGGCGTGAGCGCTAATTAGCAGTTTTCGTTTATGTTAGTCCACATTAATCTGCTGTCATTTCTTCCATCGTTCCATGAGGTTATGTACATTCCACCCAACTCGATATGTCGATTGATGCATAAATCATCGGAGTGCATGGCCTCAAGAAATACTCATTTTCTGGAGAGTCAAACTCCTACAATGCACAGAGGAAGTCCTAAAGATCTAGGAAACGAAGATTTTTGCAGCTGGCTTGCTTCAACTTCTTAAGCTTTGCCTAGAAACAAATTTTCTGTTTGACTATCAATAGTATCAACAACTACAGTAGTCGCCGAAAATCACGGAACATGCCGACATATGCGAAAGATTGATACTCGTTCGCTTATCGGCATTGACTTAATTTGCGAAACTGATTATCATGCAGCCTTTACTGAAGTCATTTCAGTCACGAAAGGATGCGGGCTTTTTAACGAGCTTCGTTCTGACC